TGTAAATTTTTTGTCCATATAGAAATGGTAATGGTATGGGTGTGTAAATGTATATGTGTGTATACTTTTGTATAAATGGAATCATACTATACTTGGAATAATGTGCTTTTTTCCAACTGAACAATTTATATGAACAATATGTTGCAGACATTTTCTGTGGCAGTAACTATACGCATCATCATTTTCAGAGGATGCTTAGGAATCCACTCTTCTGTGGATGACACTCTCCCCCAACTCCCTTGTTCTTAAGTGAAAAGGAACTCATGCGTTTTTCTTTCTTCATTTGGTAGCTTCCTCATACCTTTGATAATTGTGGTTGTCTTTTCTTCTCCCTCTGAAATCAAGTTTCTTGGAAAATGGGATGTTTGTCTTCCCTGAAACTGTGATAACCATGGGAAGCATATTTTACTTAATTTAATTTGCCTTGCTTGCTTTGGATTCACAGGTTGTTTTGGTGTTCAGTTTTGGCATTGTTTTTGGGTAGATAAGGACAGGGCCCAGAAAGTCTGACATTGGCAGAGGCCAACATGAGATCTGGCCTCAGTGGCTGCTGTAGTTCTTTTGTATACAGAGTCCTCAGGTCACACGTGGAGGTGGCTTGGCAGCCTGGGGGGTGGGGGGAAATGAAAGGATTTTAGAAGTCAAAAAAACAGCAAAAATGAGGACTAAAAAGAGAAAAGAAAAAGGAACATATTGAGGAAACTTCTAGAGTGCCTCTTGGGGGTTCTCAAAGTCCAAAATCAGGCTCTGCCACTGGGACCTGGGCTTGGGTAGTAATTCTGGGAAGACTCACTTGGCGAATACTTGATGGCATAGTATGAGTCACATTACAGTAACCTATTCCTGTTCTTTTATGGTATCAATAAACTGTTCTTGTACTTTTATGGTAGCAAATGTTTAAAATAGGTGGGCCTTGAGCTAGCACCAAAAGCCTCTGTTAAACTGGAAATGTGTTGTGATTGTTAACTTTTACAATGCCATGCGGTGCATCTCAGAAAATGCTGATGTGGCATCCTGCCACATACCAGCAGTAAATTTGGTTTATCATTGGCTCAATCAAGTTATAACCTAAGCCAATATGCATGGAAAAAGTTGTTAGTTCAGGCTGAAAGGAAGAGAGGGGTCCAAGTACCCTTACATAATACCTACCATAGGGGATCTGCCCTCCAATCTGCATTCTGGCATCTAGTGTCCCCCTCCTCCCCTCTCAGTGCCTCACCCCGTTCCTCCCTTCCTCTCTCTCCCTCTCCTACCCTTTCAACCTCACCCAGACAGGCAGGCCCTGACTTGGTTGGTTAATCCCTGTCCAGTGTAGAGAGTCCTTAAAAGGCAGTTTTAGGTTCAGGCACTGGTCCAATCAATCGGAGCCAGTGGAACATTTTGTTTTGCTGGAACTACATGTTTGCTATTCTCAGAGGGAGCAGTAGGGGGCAGTGTAACTGCCAGATGCTTTTGACACTTGAGACCTATCTAGATAAGTGAATTATTTTGGTACGTGTGAATATTTTTTTTTTTTTTTAAGTGAGAGGGTAGGTAGGAAAATACTCTGAAAACTCTAAAACTATGTAATTTGAAGATGTTTTACAAAAAAATGATATTATTAAAACCATCCAGTGAAATAAAGCCTGTCTTAGCTGCTTCTATAATCATGTAGCAAAATGGAAATGAGTAAGTTTATAGTGGTGAGAACTTCTAAATTCAATTTACTACTTTTTATGTAAGTTGTTAGGCTTATTTCAAATAGCTTTATAAGGTTTTTATGTCTGAAAAATTTCTCTGTCTCAATCAAAAGGGAGAATTACCAAGATCTTCATCACGCATCTTCATGGAGATCATTTCTTTGGCCTTCCTGGCCTCCTCTGCACAATCAGCCTACAGAGTGGCTCCGTGGTCTCCAGACAGCCTATTGAAATCTATGGCCCTATAGGGCTTCGGGACTATATCTGGCGAACCATGGAACTCTCTCACACGGAGTTGGTTTTCCCTTACGTGGTCCATGAGCTGGTGCCTACAGCAGATCAATGTCCTGCAGAAGAACTAAGAGAATTTTCACATATGAATAGAGCAGACAACCCTCCCAAAGAGGGACAAGGAAGAACTATCCTATTAGACTCCGAAGAAAACTCATACCTTCTGGTTGACGATGAACAGTTTGTGGTAAAAGCATTTCGCCTCTTTCACAGAATTCCCTCCTTTGGATTTTCAGTTGTAGAAAAGAAACGCCCAGGTAAACTCAATGCGCAGAAACTAAAAGACCTCGGTAAGTGGTTTTTTTTTTCCCTTCTCATCAAGGTGTTGTAAACTGTAGCTGTTAGAAGTATCATAGTAACTTTCCTCTTCTGTATCCCTGGCTTAAAATGTCATTTTCTCCACTTACTTCCTTTGCTCAAAGTTTGCTTATGAAGGGAAATCCTTGGGGCCACAAGATGCTATTCAAAGCAAAAACCAGGTATATATTTGAATCCTTTTCTATTTGGCTCCCAGTATGCACATTCTTAGTCTGTCTTCAGCTTACACTGTCTTGATTGGTAAGGTGGTTTGAGTGGTGGTGGTGGTGGTGATTTTAGGTCCAGGCTTTTTTTTTTTTATTTTGCCTACACATTAAACCTCTCAACATGTTCAGAGCACCGTGCCTTAGCCAGTTTTA